GTTAGACACAACACAACAAGGACAGAGAGGCCTGGGTCACGGGAAGCAGGTATAGGATACAAGTGGCCTCAGAAAGAACTGCAATGTCTGATGAGATGAAAGCGCCCAGGGAGGCCAGTGTGATTAGAGATGGCCGGGTGGAGGGGAGGTCGCCATGGTTAGAGATGGCTGGGTAGAGGGGAGAGAATACTGAACAGGACATGCTTATAAAGAACCTAGCTGAGGCCAGACAACGAAGCCCTGAAAAGACTGGCGGATATAACTCGTAGAGCCCGAATCAGGCTGGCAATAGTTTCTATACTATTCAGACTGGAAAGCTCTGGGATTTCAAAGACACAGTTCAAGCCCTCAGCACCTCTGTCCAATAGCGGGAAATACTAGCAACGGTCCGGACAGAATCCCAGTGTTGCGCAATAAACCTTACACACAAGACCAAAGAATTTCCCTTTGTTCCAGAACAATTTGGAAACGTCCTGATGGGGATACAGAATTACCCATCCTGCAAGAGTATCCTTCAGAAATGAAGGCAAAATAAAATTTCTTCCAGAGGCACATGAGCTGGCAGAACTTACCACTAGCAGCCTCCCACTGTTTAAAATGTTACAGGGAGTCCTTTAGATAGAAGGCAGTTGGTGTCAGAGAGAGACAAGGATTCACACAACGGAATGGAGAACAGGGCTGGCTTCCCGTGAATGGGACCGACATGGTTTGACTACACGTGCGGCAGCCCTCTGAACCATCCTGTGCTTGGTTTCACGTTCAGCGGTTGCTGTCTTTACATTTTTAATGATTGCAAACAAGGAGCCTTACAGCTTCAGCATGCAAAGCGATCAAGTCATGTGACCAAAGAATGGGCGCACAAGTAGCAAGCTTCCTTGGAAAACCTTCCTACCGCCGGGTTAGATTGTCACGGAACTTCCCCAGAAAGGTAGAAATTCAGTCACTAACATCGAGGAAACCTGGCAAAGCAACCTGACCGCCCTCCACAAGGGCAAGCACAGTTTCAGAAGTAGTTAGGCAAGAAGCAAATGACAAACTAATCCATTCACTGCTGCTAAAGTAATTCCAAATGCTATCCACTGGAGAGGAGAAAGAGCTTTCACAGGATGCGTCTGGGTATTGTTGCCTTCGCTACTTTATTAACTTTTACCCAGAGGTATTAAAACCAAATACTGTATTAGGTTTTTGGAAACGATTCTGTATTATGAGCGGAGATTTAAGAATGCACTAAAATCTGTATTTCTTTTCAATACAAACCTTTGCCATTATTAGTATTGCAGGGCACACTAAGCCTGGGCTAGAACGATTCCCTTGGTAAACGATGGTAGGGTCAATGGGAAGATATTAATTGCAGGTTCTACAACGAGATTCACGAGTTAATGAATTGAACAAACAGTGTTTAGAGTTATCTGGATGTGCCCAAGTCCCTTTAGTAGACACACAGAGACAAAAGGCATTAACATTTTTTTTTTAAATTTTGTATCTTTTTATTGCCCAGAAAGTGAATATCAAGTTATTCACATGGGCCTTAGCTTATTTCTAATTTCATAAGTCATCTGTACACATTTTATGGAGAACATATATTCCTTTTTGTAAAATGTCCTCCATGCAGAGGTTGGTGGTAGTGGTTAGAAACGTGAGTCAGACTGGCTAGGAGCATATGCCGAGCCTGAGAAACCTCTGAGAGGAAAAAAATTAATGGACCTTTGAACTGCTAACTAGTCATTAATTCCCTTAACAAGCCTTTGGAGGGATAGTAACTCAAGGCGGTGGTTCATGCAGTTAGCATCCGCAGAGGGAACAATCCACCCACCGTCTCTCCGGACACATCCACATTTTCATACTGAAATGTCACTAGAAAGGTAGGAATGTGATGTTACTACCCATGGGGGCCAGGACTTGAGCCAATCAGTCAATGCCGGTGTCTGAACGTGAAGTCTCTGAGTTCAAAGGGTCAACTGTTGGTCAATATTTCATGCTCTCATCTGAGACAGCACTGGCCTCCAGAACCGGCAGCGCTTCCTGCCTTAAACGCTTCTCTGTGTTAACGGCGAGATCTCCATCCTTTTGTTTCCTCCTAACCCTTGGGTAGCTTTGTGTCCAAACCTCTTATTTGTTCATTCAAATTACCCTGATTTTCAAAAAACATCAATATACACCACAAAGGAAAGGTCTTCAGGGGCTTTCCAAAGGTGCTAGCTTCAAATACACATTTTTATGATTCAAGTCAAGAAATCTGGCCAGTTTCATATCCTGATAGAAATAGGTTACACAAGCTTATTATACTCCTGAGAATAACAACAAGTGCACTGCCATCTACACTGAGTGTCTCATCAATGATGCTGATGTTATCACCATGCCAACAAGTCTACTTGTCCTCTATTCTCCTCCCTCCACTTGTTGACCTCTGCACCTCTCCCAGCTGGAGTCTGTCTGTCTGTCTTCCCTCTACGAGGAGAAAGAGCCACCAGAGCAGTCTGGCTCCCTTTAAATCAGCTCCTCATGTCGGCCATCCAGGTGGGCAATGGTGCACTCCACAAAGACCCAGGAGGGAAACCATCATCTAGCGACAGTGACCTATGAGGGGACCTAGTCTCTGTAGCGGTCAAGGATGGGACTCAGTCACTCCACTTTGACCCAGGATAGGAGCTCCCTGGAGGCCTTCACTTTAGATCAGGATTACGGTAGTACCCTGTAGCAGTCAGGAAACAACTTCCAGGTACTCGGTACTGTGTTAGTTGAGCCGTCTGCTACACAAGGGACCACCCCATACTTCGCTTCATGAGTCCAGATAAACAAAGGTCTTAACTTTGTCTTCTCTTTTTTGATGAAAGGGTTTTGAATTGGAGATTACTCCAAAGCTTTGCAAACCGGAAGGCACACATTGCCTTTCTCACACTAATGGGGGCCACCCCCCCGCCACAAAAAGCCTCAATCTTTAAATGAAATGCCCCGCTCAAGGAGCTATGAAGTTTTGCTTTCTAATTCTGTGTCTAAAGGTTCATTTGGTCTTTGACTTTTTGTTTGTTTGTTTGCCCACAGTGAGCAAGTCCATTGAGTTAAATGACTTGCATTCTCTCCTTGCAGAGTGGTAACTTCCCATATATAAAATGCCACAGAAATTTAAATCCAAAGAGTTTACTTAAGAAAGATACACTGTGTTGACGGCAGGCACACAGGTCAGAGGACTTCGCGCACAGTGACTATGCCTTCAGACTTGGAAGCCATACTTCGAACTTGAACTTCTCTAAGTCGGAATGTAATCTAGTCAGTGCAGCTCAAAGGGAAACCAAAGAGGCCACATGGGCACCAAGGCATATTTCTGTTTTCATCTCTGAATTCAAAGGCGGTTGTGATTAGTCTGTAGGCCCAGGGAACAAACCTATGGGCTTTCCAGCGTCAGGATCTCCCTGTCACCCAACACGAGGGATATTGTAGAGCCTTCCCAGAAGCCATCCTGTTCACCGGGAAGTACTGCTGACACCAGTCGGGTGAATGGCCCACACGCTACTTCACAGCAGCTCTGCAGTAGGGAACAGGTGTATCCCGAGGGTATGGCATAGGGTTAGTTTTCTAGTTCTACCGTGAAGCGGGACACATTTCAATGTGGAAATTGATGTGGCTGATGTATGGAGAGGGGCCTTGTTCACAAGGGAGGGCCTCAGAGGAACCAGGAGACGAACGTCACGTCTCACAGAGGACGGAAGTCTTTACCCATCACAACCAAAACCTGAGGCAGCTTCAGTTGTTCCTTTGCTACAATGACTAAGAACAATGCTAACCAGAGATTCAGGAAGTGGCTTTCTTTTGGTGAGGATGGTTTTTGGTGAGGGAGTAGGAAGCAACAAGTTAGGAGTTACTAATGGCAAGCCAGAAGCCAAGATTCTATTGAACTTCATGTGCTTTTTGGACTCAAGAACAATTTTGTAAAATGTCCCAGGAAAGATGTATTTTTAAAGATACATTTTCAAAAGCAAGACATATCGGCTAACAGTCATAATGCTCATTAAAATAATTAATGACAGGTAACATGGAGACTCTAGACTCTGGGACAGAGAGCAACATAGCAGGCAGAAGAGAGCTAAGAAGAAGCAGTAATAATTGTCGGCTTTATTTCACCTTGCAAATGCCTTCCCAATCATTAGGCCGTGAAGATAAACAACCCTCTAAAAGAGTGATTGATCACTGTATTACCTTCAAAAAGGCACATTTACAATGCGCGAGCCCAGCACAAATGCGCACAATCATTTCACGCTACCCCTTGATGCCATTCCTTCACCTGTTTGTATTCAGGAAAAAAAAAAAATGAGAGTAAAAAGGAAGTGAGGAAGAATCAGAATCGCTTATGAGGACTGAGTTGATCTCTCTGGGCTTGGATACATGGCAACATATGCTGGCCAGCGTTGACAGAAAATTTATGCCAAGCGTATGTATGCATGAAGCAGAGACGACATACGATTGGACGCCGACTCCAGGAGATAACACTTTCCTGATGACAGCAACCTGCTTAGCAAGCGCTGAAGCCGTCCCTCCGAGCGCGGGGTCTGAATCCTAATTAAGGAATGAAGATGAAGAAACATGACAAAGTGCTAAAAAGAATGTGATTAAGGGATGAAAACGCGATAATTCTGGCTTTTAATAGTGAACAGGGGCAGAGATCAGGCGGGGAGCTTATTTTGCCACCACATCCCGATGCTAAACCGACAAGGGTTTCCTAAAATGGAAAATCCAGAACTTCTTGGAAGGTTTCGTTAGATAATGCAAAAAGCCCCGAGGGTCTTCTTCTATCTCAGTTCACCATCTCAGAACATCAAAAGACTCAGAGCTAACACACACACACACACACACACACACACACACACACACACACACGTTTATCTGTAAATCCTTACTAGATGTCCAAACAGTTACAGAGAAAGATAAAGAATTCTCCATCTGCAATAAAGTTCACGTCACATCGAAAGCCGAACAGTTCAAGTGTCAGAGAGAGCGCAACTTACATTGATAAGTTCAACCTCCCAGATTTTTTTCAACAGGTCCATCGATGTGTAGCCATTGATGAGAAAGGCTTTGGTGTAGTCCCCCAGCTCGATGGAATCCAGCCACTCAGCGACAGAGGTGGGATGGTAGCCATCATGGCCAATGGGTCTCATCTGCAATGAAGAACGACACATTAGATATTACTTAAACCAGCTCCCTTTGGCCCCAACAACAGGAAGCATCTGGCCACTGACAAATTAATCTGATATAAAGCATCAGATATTTCTGGATAGAGAAGTAAGGAGAAGGAAAAGCCTCGATGAACAATTCTAAATCATTAGTAATTTTCACGCTGAATTAGTTTTCAAAAATACACCCAGAAGTTTCCAATTTAGGTGCTAAATTAACTCTGGGTTTGAGATGATGAAATATGCCAAACTTCTGTTCAGGACTTTATTGGTGTTCTGTCGGAAGGGAACATTACGAGGGATGTCAGTTGAGTTACCAGGGTTGGACGTGGGGGGAGGGGGGAGGCGAAAGGCACAGCATCTTCAAAATAGAGATGGTAATTCTCATACGCGCGACGTCCGAGTGTGTGAAAAGACGGCATGACTTAAACATCCCAAGGGGGTTCATGCTTATGCAAGACATGTACTGTAGGTAGTGCACACACGCTGGAGAAACACACGGCTGTGGCAAGCCAGCTAAAAAGAGGCCCTGGGTGCTTCAAGACCATGTGTTCCACCTTAGCTCTACAGTATGTTAGACATGAATAGGGGACTTTCTGGCAGACAGGCTTCTATTTTTTGTCAGCTATATACAGATTTTTTTTTTAATACTCCAGGGGAACAAAGAAGTGCGACAGCAACATAATGTTTCTGAGTTTAAATTGGAATGTGAAAATAATTTAGGCAGGAAGAACTTCTGGGTTGAAAAATTTATATAGCTTCTTCTAAGTCCTTTAATTTTTTTATTTGAAATCTAAGATGAATTCGTGGTTCTTGTGCTTGACACGACTCACTTCTGAAACTTAGAATGCCTGCATGCCAGGCTAGGGTTTGGTACTGGAGTTCCTCAGGAGAGCAGCCCCCTCATCAGCCTTCAGTAAGGCGCCTGCTGGGAGCACCTAAGTGGGCATGGTGCAGAATGGGCTTTCCTCTTCCATCAGATTTAAGGAGATTAAAACATGGACAGAAATCTATAGGATTCTGGTTTGTGAGCAGAGGAAAAGATTAGTGTTGGCACCCAGGATTCAGATTTTCATCTCAGCATCGTGAGCTTTCTGTCACTGTGCAGGGTTCTCGGTGGAGAGTATCCTTTCCATTTTAATGTAACCTACAGTTCTAGGTTTCAGTACCCACCATTTCAAAGCTACAGTGTAGTTCATTATCGGCACCAGCACCTCGGGTGTGTGGGATGCTCGTATTTTGCTTTTCTATCGCCTGACCCCCTTAGGGCTACTCACCAAATGCCTGTCCATGTGGCTCTTACTCAGTATTCATTGTATGGTGACAAGGAGTGGTGAGTCAGAGTCTGCCAAACACAATCTAGTGGCGGGCACAAATAACTGAGTGCTGCGTATAAACCTGGAGACTAGGACCCAAAGTGGAGGCTTGGATGTAGTGAGCGCTTTCCTCTTTGGTAAATTACAGACTCCAGGTATGCAGTGTGTTTTCCCTGATAGGTTAACAAGTGGGTGAACCAACCTAAACACTGACCCAAGACATAGGGTACTCACCTGATGGAATAAGTGGAGAAAGGGCAAAAGGGAAGACAGGGGAACATGGCGGTTGACACAACCTAAGAGTAAGGTAGTCAACCCAAGAAGCTGACCAAGCTAGCAGTGGTTACTATGGGCAGACTTAAGGAAAAGAGTTGGTTGTTCTTTCCCAGAAAACTGTGTAATAGGTTTCCCACAGCTCACCTTGGGCACTCACACACAATTCCTGGAAAAGGTCAGTCACTGACTACCTGTCACACTTTGGTTACTCAATGGTCACTGGAGGAATCTGGGGTGCCCTTCAGACAACTGCAGGATGAACCCAATGGATCAAGACATTCACCTCTTCTCTAATACCTTTTATTTTGTCCCAATACCAAATAATTGAGGACCAGAAAAGGGGGTGGGGTGTCAGTCTCTTGGGAGAAAACTGAACTTAGGGTGTGTGTGTGTGTGTGTGTGTGTGTGTGTGTAAGAGATAAAAATAAAACTGGAGGTTTGAAATAGGCTAGAACTGAACTTCTACTGTTTTGCACAATGAGAACATCACTGGACGGATTTGAATTCACACCAAGAAGTAGCAAAGCAAGTCAACGGAACTTGATTGCAGGCTGGGAAACACATTACACTAAAATCTCACTGCATGAAGACTGCTCGGTAACCTGGATCCTCCTGTAAAGCACGACCCACCACCCTGAAGAGGCAAGAGTGACAGGAATATTGGCGGGGTGACAGATGGGTGGCTAGAGCGCCAAGGTGCAGATACTCTGGAAATGGGTGTGCGCGCGCGTGTGTAGAGCAGCATCCGTGCGTTTGCTTATTCAATAAATACCCAGCGCTCTTTCTGGTGGATGCCGTGGACACAGCACAGAACAGGTCAGTTAAAATGCATCCAGCACCATCATTGTAATCATAAATTAAAATGTTTGTGAACAGATGACCACCAAATCATGAAGGTTCTGCGGACCTGACTGGAGGAGACCTTCAGCGCCAAATAAAGTTGCAAAATGAACTTGAGACATAACTAACGATATGTAGAGTGACCACTCTGCTGTGCAGTAGCTTCTTCCAAAGAAGCTGTCCCATTTGTTCCTTTAATTTTGCTTCTACTACCACTCCCCAGCTTAGGTTCTCATTACCACTTGTTAAAATGGATGCAAAATCCTTCCGTGTGGCCTCCCACCTTTGGTTCAGCTTATACTCAGTAGAACCTCAGCCAGGTTCATAAGTCTACCCTTGGACCAGAATCTATCGTGATTCCTTCTAGAGAAAAGTCCAAATGTCCTATTGCGCCATTAAAAGTCAACTAAAATCGACCCTGTCTCTCACTGTCCTGCTGCATACGCTACTGGTGTGACTGAACACACGCACACATCAACAGTCACCGAGTTGCTACTAGCCACTTCCCAACCACGAACTGCACAAGGCACTCTTAGTACTTTGCTTATATAATTTTCCATGCCTGCAATGCTCTTGTCTTAGGTCTAGAGTTACTTTTCAAGGACTGAAATCTTCACGAATTATAAAACACATAATTAAAATAAATTTTTAAGGCCATCTCATATCTTATAGCTATTGTGGATGGAAGTCAAACAACCAATTTCTATCCTTCAGCTGAGAACAAAGTTCCTACCCACATTCCTCAGCCAGCAAAGAGGCAGCATCAGTCCTTTGCCCAAGTAGAAGCTCAGGAAACGGTCTTCATAACTCCTGAGGTTGACACTCCCTACTGATTTGGTTTCCAAGATGGCTTCCAACTCAGTCTCCTTCCAAAGAGGGCTTTAGAATCTGGTAGTCCCAGAAACGCTACTGATTGGTTGGGCTGTCTTTGGCAAGTTAGATTGCTAGTTGAGCCTCACATCCCTCTTTTCTAGGACACGTACCCCAAGTCTTGGGATATTTTGTAGTATAGTGTGCAAATTGCCTGGCATGGTGATTTGGATTAATAGCTACCTGATGACTCTTCGTTTTCTTCGTGCCCAATTGTTTTAAATGGCATGCACACGCGGATGGGAGCTGCACACGTTTTTTTCCCTTGGCTGGTTATCTTTCACATCGAATTAAAACTCTCTTGTCCGCCGTCCACCCTTCCTCCCCTGCACTCCTCATGCCTCTCATCTTGTTGTAGACAGGGTCTACTTCTGCGAACGTCTTTTCTTCTCGACCTCTCAGCTCACAGCTCTGCACTTAGACATTTCCCTAACAAGGTAACCCAAGGACATAGAATGACTGATCCAAGTTCTTGCCTCTCTTCCTGCATTAGAACTGCAGGGGAAGCGCATTATGTCTCACTGTGGCTGGAGGTACTTCCCAGTTCCATTGATGCTGGCAGATGGAATGGCTGGTTGGCAGCCTCTCTGTTTCCCCTGTTCCGCTCATTCCTTCATGCTCTGCCTGTGCTAAACGTATACACATTTATTCTTACGCCATCCCTGTAAGACTAATATCTGCTGAGTACTTGTATAATTGCTAGGACAAGGAGGTCAACGAAGACTTACGAAGTTGAATTTAACCCAAAGTTTAGAATTAAATTTGGAGCCCAGGAAAATTCAGTCCGTGTTAGGTCACTATAACTGACCCATAGACTGATGGAGGTAGAAAACTAGACATTTTTGTTATTATCATTGCCAGCTATTGAGTTTTCGATACACAGGGGGAAAAGCTGACAAGGGTTACAAGTTTTTTGAAAGCCTTTGGTGTTTATAAATTGTACCTATAGAATCAACTCAGGCTCTTTAATTCATGAGTCTACTGGCAATTACTGGCATAAGACTGAGGAGGAGGAGGAGGAAGGAAACTGAGCTAGACAGCACCAATATCCTTCCTACCTCACCGAACTCCATCTTTACCCATCACGGCCGAAGACAGTCTTTACTGCACATGCTTACTGCATGAGTTCAAGTACTGACAGGAACATATTCCTCCGGACAGCTCATCTACCTCCATTACCTCTGCTTCTGTTGTCTTCTTTAGCCAGAACCCTTTTTCTACCTGCTCTCCCAAGATTTCTCTAAGGCCACCTTACTTTCAAGGGAGCATTAGTAGTGTATTAACTTCACTGCCCTTGGCAGAGAAACAAGGTCTTAGGAACTTTCGTGATCTCCAAGGCCTCTGTCAGGACCATCGCACACACTGAATTATTTAAGTAGACATTTCAGAGGTTTGGTACTCATTTGCAGGAACATCTGTACTCTGTGTCATAAAAATTAAGGATTTCTTTTTTTTAAAGGCCAAACACTGGTAACATTTAAAACTTCCATGTATCAAGAACCAAAACCAACTTCAGATAGTTTGCTGTACTATAAAATGCAATGGATTTTGATGTAGGCGGGCCTTCTGTTATGTGTTATTTTCATTGGTTAGTAAAGAGACTGCCTTGGCCCTTCGACAGGACAGAAAATTAGGTAGGCGGAGTAAACAGAACAGAATGCTGGGAAGAGGGCAATGAGGCAG